GCTGGTAATCAAAGTGCAGTCGTCTCGGCAACAGCCAGTATGGATTCTGAGTCCTATCCAACAGAATTGCCAGAATCTGAACCGCCGGCTGAAGGTTCTATAGAGGTCGCGAGTATTGAAACTGTTGATAGCAACTGTAGTAAAATTTTGACAGATATTGCTATGTGGCCAGCGAATTTGACAGAAACCATGCGTAATTATGTTTTGGATTTCAAACCAAAAAATGTTGGCGACTTTTCACGCGCTAGCATGTTGATGACAGATGGTGGCAGACAATATTTTCGTCATTTGTCTGAACATAACTTTTACTTGACCAAGGCGAATGGCCAAAAAGAAAGACGTGAATGGTTAGTGTTCAATGAAACTAGTGGAAGTGTTTATTGTTATGTATGCAAACTGTTTCCAAATAAAGCTAGTCAATTTTCAACAAATGGGTGTTCAGATTGGAAAAATATTGCCGCGAAAATTTCTGAACATGAAAATTCGTATGGCCATGTTCAAGCAATGTGCACTTTAGCTAAACGCTTAAACGCAAACGGGCGTATTGACAAACAAATGGCGAAACAGTCAGATGATGAAAGACAATACTGGAGAGAAGTTCTACGAAGGATTGTAACAACTGTACAGTTTCTTTCCTCTCAAGATTTTGCTTTTCGTGGTCATGACAACAATGACGGCAACTTTACTAGTTGCTTGAATTATTTGTCAAAATTTGACCCTTTCTTAGCAAATCATATTGCGCGGTACGGTAACAAGGGAAGTGGTTCTGTTAGTTATTTGTCACATGCTACTTGTGACGAATTTATTGAAATAATGGGCAATGCTGTCAGAGATCAGTTTATTTCAGAAGTAAAGAAATCGATATATTTTTCTTTGATTGTTGATTCAACACCTGATGTTAGCCACGTGGACCAGTTAACTGTGATACTCAGATATGTTCTCATTGATGGTGAAATTAAAGAACGAATTTTAACTTTTGTTGACATCTATGCTCATAACGCTCAAAATCTGGAGCAAGTGATACTAGACGTTTTGAAGAAATGGGGGTTAGATATCATAAAATGCAGGGGACAGAGCTACGACAATGCTTCTAACATGTCTGGCAGATACTCTGACTTGCAGGCACGAATCAAGGCACACAGTCCCAATGCAGTTTACATTCCCTGCTCTAGCCATAGCTTAAATCTAGTTGGTAATTTGGCTGCAGAATCGTCGCTTTCAGCAGTATCATACTTTGACTTTATTCAAAACGTTTATGTGTGGTTCTCATCATCCACACACAGGTGGAACATACTTAAAAGTCATCTAGTCAAAAGTGGATGCACCATAAAGAAAGTATCGGACACAAGGTGGTCAGCTAGAGCGGATGCAGTGTTTGCATTGCATCAGAACTACATTGGTATTCAAGAAGCTCTTCTTCAAGCAGCCGAAGGTCGTGATCAGAAGGCGTCTGTAAGAAATGAGGCTAATGCTCTTGCTAATAAAATGGATCTTTTTGAAACTGCATTGATGACTGTTCTTTGGGATACAATTTTACAGCGGATGAATGCAACCAGCAAATCCCTACAAAATTCAAATTTATATCTTGATTCTGGTTTAAATCTTCTAGAATCACTGAAGCTTTTTATTAACAATGAAGTCCGAAACGATTTCACTCGTATTGAAAAACGAGCAGCATTGCTTATTAACAAGGATCTGGAAGACTGTAAATATCAGGATGAAGTGAGCCGCAAGAAAAAGCGAAAACCGTTTTCTGATGAAAGCATTGAAGCGGAAGTTATTTTAACTGGTCGTGATAATTTTATTGTTAACACAGTAAACGCCATTTCTGATAAATTGATCACGGAACTTGATCACAGAATCGAAGCATACAAAGGTATACATGATTTGTTCAGTCTATTTTTCAAGGACAAGGTAGATGACATGAACACAAAGATCTCGGCCTTGATCGAAGAATACAAAGACGATGTTAATTCTGATACCGCTGGCGATGAAATCAAACAGTTTTTGCATTTCGCTAAGGAAGAAGGCGCAAAATCTGCGGTAGAGATGTACCAGCTTATAGTGGTGGGTGGACTACAATGTACATTTCCCAATGTGGAAACCCTTCTAAGAATCTTTCTCATCATTCCTATATCAAACGCAACTGGAGAACGGTCATTTTCTGTGTTGAAAAGGATCAAGAATTACTTGCGGAATTCCATCAGCCAATGTAAGCTGGGAGATTTGTCTATTTTATGCATTGAATCAAAGGAGACATTAGAATACGATTTCAATGCGCACATTGACTCCTTCGCGAAATTGAAGAGCAGGAAAAAAGTTATATAACTGTAATAAACTGACAATTGTAATTTCTAACTAGTATCTATAGCTGTAGTATCTATGCATGTTAAATAATACATGGGTATGAGTGTTCTAACTATTGTATTATGATCATTGATCGCCTTATAGGCGAGAGGGCCCCAAATTGGTCGTGCGCCTAGGGCCACAGTTTTTGTAAATACGCCTCTGCACACGCTAACGCATACACAGACATATCCACAACTTTCATTACATACATTTGAGGATAAACAATTATAAATTGTAATATCTTGTTTTAAATTACAACTTCGTTACGTTTTTATGTGTATCCAATTTTATGGAAAATCATTGACCGGAGAAGGAGGGAGAGAAAGTGCTGGTCTGTTGGAGGCACCCGCAGAAGGAATGATCGCCGTTGATACGCTTACGCTGGTTGATTGCACGTCGATTCATTTGTACTCCATTTTGTGCACGTTGTACGCTTCAATTTTGTGAACCTTCCGACGTACAACGTACAGTTTACAGAGTACGCAAGTTCATGCATTTCTAATTGCGTGCGTGCGTGTGTGTTTGTGCGCGTGATGTTGTGCTAGGATGCGTGTGTGATGTGTGTAGGCACAATGCATTCATTCAGTATTCATCATAACATGACCTCGCACAATATTTTTATTTTGTTTGCTCATTTTCCATTTTCCAATGTGCTTTAAAAATTAACCAACGAGTTTTTATTTAGTAACGTAACAAAAGCGCTCACACGAACATGAGATGATGGTTATGCACCTAGCAACATTGCTAACCAACATGCATGCATGCGTGTTGGTTAGCAATGTGTGAACAGACTTGTGTGAACAGACGTGAACAGACTTGTGTGAACAGACTTGTATCCATTAAATTACAGAGTGCGAGTACGTATCTGCATGAATAAGGACAGATAGATACAAAGATGAATTGCGAAGATATATATGCATGCGTGCAAATACAAATATATAATGCATATATACATATATATATATATATATATATATATATATACAAATAAATATATATATATATACATATTTAAATATAGAGCGTGGATGCTGCAATAGCGCAGTTCTCCATCATCCGACACAGCGTACTACAGCCCGCAACACACCACAACATCTCCAACACACCACAACATCTCACAACACGACATCTCGCATGTTAATATTTTTCAGTTGGTGCAAATAATATTATTTATTAATTCATAATATTTTTAAAATAAAATTCATTTTCAGTTATTTAACAGTCTAGGACGTGATGTGTGTTTTTGCATGTTGTTCGTTTTGTATATTGTTGTTCATGATCGTGCGTTCGTGTTGGTGCAGCGTGCGATGTTTTGTGTTGTTGCGTTTCTCCGCGGGAGTCGCACACTGCTGTTGAACGCGTTTGTAGTTGTTGTGCCACTGCCTCATTTGTCGTGTCGTATTTTGTGTGTTATTTTGTTACAGTGTTTCTTACAAACTTGGCAGAATTTATCAGAAATAATGAACCACATGGCAGCATTTCATTAGAAGTTCAGAACGTTTACTTGAGATATTCCACGACCAACAAATACGGAGAGCTCAGCAAAAATCGAACGCACGTATGCATTCGTTCGCAGCTTGTACACAAGTGTTCCCTTGTATGCGCGCTCGCGTACATTGTACAGTTGTACAGTTGTGCGGAGCATGGAAGCTCTTTATTTTTGCAAGCAGTCGTCATATTTATTCCTTCGTGCACGAATGCAAACGTTATGTGTTGTTCACGTTGTGTGCACGCGTTTGGAATCTATCTATGTATCACAACATGGCCCTGTACAAATGCCTGTATGTTTCGTCTTAATCATTTCCGATGTTTTCCAATCTGTTTTAAAATCATTTGAAATATTCATAAAACAGGACAAACATTGCATGAAGCATCACAGAAAAGAATAGAAATAATTCATTATTATTATTATTATTATCTGTTCTTGCGCGAAAATTATTTGCATGCGTGTTTGTGTGAATATCAATGTTGTGTGTGTGGTATGTGTGTGTGTGTGCGTGTGTGGTATGTGTGTGTGTGTGTGTGTGCGTGTATGGTATGTGTGTCTGTGTGTGTTGCATGTGTGTAGTACACCTACGCGATCTCTCTATGATATACACATACAAACACGTATACAAATATATATGTACATACGTAAATATAAATATATATATATATATATATATATATATATATATATATTTAAACATACATAAACACCACGCACACACAAACACACACACATATATATAATATTGGAAAATATGTATGTGCGTACGAAAATATATACGTACGTATCGATGTACGTACGTTAGGTTTGGATAAATATAAAATGCCAAATATATATGATACAAGCAAAACGATTACTATAAATATATATATATATATATAATATATAAATATATACATATACATATATACACCAAAGTGTATGTGTGTGTGTGTGTACAAGCATTTATGTATATTTGTATATATGTATGTATGTATGTATGTATGTATGTATGTATGTATGTATGTATGTATGTATGTATGTATGTATGTATGTATATATGTATGTATGTATGTATGTATATATGTTTGTATGTGTAAGAATGTATTGCTTTGTAGTAGTTGGAGTGTGCGTGGAGAGAAGCACAGTGGTTCGTCATCATGTTGTTTGTTTGTAACTGTGCCACCGAATGAATGGTGCACACTGGCTTTTAAATCTTTTTTCATTCTATAATGCTGAATGATGATGATTCTGTTTGTCAGTTCTTGAATTTAAATTTTAAACAATTTTTTATAGACCGAAGAATTCCAATTCATCAAAATTTGTTAAAAATTGTGCAAGTTGTTAAATGTTATGGGGATGATGTAAATGCCTCAAACGATGACAAGGAGTTTTTTCAAGTCAGCAGATTTCATGAATTGCTTCAATCCCGTTTCACCAACAGCTGATGATACCTTTATTAAAATACTGTTTCAGAGTTATTTGAATTTTTGATTTTAATCCTGATTTTAAGTTACCGTTGTTAGCTGTCATTGGATTTCATTGGATAAATATTTCTGAAGCAATAAAAGAGAATTATGATTGGGATAACAAGCATGGCAGAGGTTGGCAAACACGCGCGGGCCTGGGTTGCTTCCACATTTCAATGCCGCTTTTATTTTTAAACGACGATAGAATGTTTATTTTTTTTAAATAAATTGTTTTTTGTCACATTCTGCTTTTAAAACTTTTTCTTTCATAACAATTTAATAATATGTTTATTTATCAATTTATTTCCACAAAACTTGCATCGTTCAAATTCAAATTGATTCCAATTGATTCTGACCTCAGATTGACCTTGAACCTTGTGATTCGAACGGGGCCATGGAGTTGAATGGTGACCCCATAAAACTGGTTCATTCAGCCATCATCAAACAGGTTTATCGCTTGAAACATTTAAAAAAATATTTATCAGCATAGGCTTACCAGATTCAAATACTCTGTTATAATTCTGCAAATGCTACCATCCTTGTTTAAATTTTCTTCTGATATTCTTATACGTTGCTCTAACCTTAACTCAAATAACTCAAAGCTTTTTTGATACAGCAACAAACCAATTGCTGTCCATTTTTTATAAAAAGATCTGATGACTTGGCTATTCATTTTCTGCACCTGTTTTGGCCTAACCGGACACTAGATGTTGTGCTATGTTGGTTTTCTGCATAAGAACTTTCACGAAAGTGGGAATTAAATGCTGTATGATTTCACGATTCCCGCATTACATTAGGTGTTGTTATTAAGATAGGATTTCTTACATTACGGTGTTAGGTATGGCATTACCTTTTAATGCGATAATGTTTAGAGCTCTTGTTGTGATGTAATATCAACGTTACAAATTGAATCTTATTGATAGTTTTGACATTATTAAGTAATAAAAATACTGAATATGATGAATAACGATGATTAAAGTACGACAAAAACAAAATCTTATTAACTAGTCTGGCGATTGAATTATAAAAATGCGTAAAAAATTTTAAAATTTTTGGTGGGGTTGTTAAATAGTTTTTCAACAGAAAAAACAATTTTTGTGTTACTTCAACACATTTTTTAATGATTTAATTGAAGCCAATGTGTTCAACAATCAAAAATTCTGTGAACAAAGTTTTCTGAATTTGATATGAGAAAAATAATACTTGATCTTTCGCTGGTTTTTGAATAATGTTTCGAGGGTTTATAAATGTGTCAGTAATTTTGAAAATATTTAGGACGTAATTTTTAGATGGCGATATTTGATACATAGTCAAAGTTTAAACGAAAATCATTTTTCATGAGAACTGTGTTGCTTTAAATAATATTTTCAGTACGAACTTTGCTATATGATGGCACACCTACTCGCAAAACACATGTTTGTTTTGATTGGTTTGTTGAAAATCTGAATGAGTGAAGATAAATAGTCATACGAAGGACATCTTTCGACTTGATGATATCTGTAATTAGTAAATCTTTGTATTGCAGATAATGAAAATAACATTCTAGCTTTCTTCTTTTTAATGGTTAAAGAACTATTTATCGGAAATAGTGTTAGGGAAAGAAGATTTTTTTATTTTGAAGTTTTTTAAAAGTTTGTTTACCATTAAAATAATATTTGTAACTGTAAAATCGACTTAAAGCAAACTGTTTATGAAAATACTCTTTGTAACATTACGATAATAATGTTAGGTTCTGGAACATTTTTATCAAACTATAAAACTAAATGTTGCTGAACCAAGGAATATACAATGTTAATACAAACTTGAATGGTTCGAACAAGAAAAAAAATTGTTGACTTCATTACTAGAAAATATTTAGTTTAGCCACAATGTAAACCTTTTTGATTTCACAATATATTAGGGTTGTTTAAAAAGCCACTACTTATAAAGTTTTTCTGATATCCTTTTTATATAGAAACGAGCCAACAAGACAGGGCTTTGGAGAAAGCAGTTTTTTGAGTTGTTCCGCTCTAGCTCTTGCTCCGACATAATAAAACTGCTCCGTGCTCCGCTCAGTGCTCCAGGTGAAATGTCATTAAAAAATGTATTACCAATAGGTGGGAGATTGCTTTTATTTCAATGCAAAATTTCAAAATCATATTTTTTTTTAAAATTAATAATAATAGAAAGATAAACAGTATATTCTGTTTTTACTTGAATAATCAATTTTTATTAAACTAAAAATTAAAAAACTAGACTTTCGAAAATTTGTGAAAATGCTAATCAAACGCAGATTTGTCGAAATATAACTATTAATTTTTTTTGAAAAATATCAGTTTTTGAACAAACTTAACGTAATGAACTTAAAGTAGTTCCACGGCAGATTTCTCACTTTCATTTTTTTATTATTGAAACAGTAGAGTTAAAGTCAACTTAATTCAAAAAACATTGACAAAAATGTTTTTTACTATTTTGACTGTTATTTAAATCCTGTTTCAGTCATCTTGTCCACCATCCTTGCAATCCATTCAGTTCCTGATTTCAACATTGTTGTCCAAGATTTGCCTAGTAATTTCAGTTTTGTGTTTCTCCTTCATGTAATTCTTTGTGGTGCCTGTTGGTACGTGCATCGTGAGTTTTCTCGAAAGCTTAGTCGTCGTCATACCAATATATTCAGAATTATAGTGCCCACAATCACCAATATTACATTTGAACAAATATATTAGGTGGCTATGATCCATTATCGATTCTGGCTTACTAGTGCAGTTGTTTTTCATCACAAGAGATGACGTTCTTGGTTGGAGTAGTATATTCGTAGTTTAATACTATCATTTTTGTTTGATGTTTGAACGTTAATTTACATAATTTTTTTTGATTTTTCTTCCCGTTCAAAAGCATTTGACATGTGATTCTTATAATATATTACTATGCTATTTTTGTTTTTATTGTCAGTTGAATTTTTGTTGTCGTTGCTGAATGTTTGTTTTTTGCGTTCTATTATTTTATGCATCATGAAACTTTTATATCCATTATTAGTGAGTAATTTAGTAACTTTATCTAATTCGATTCACCTGCTTTCTACATCAAAAGAGTGCGTATAAGCTCGGTTTACGAAAGCAGAGATCGTGCTCTCTAGATATGTTTGACCACATTCATTATTTCCATTAAGATATAAACCTTTGTTTGTTGCTAATTAAATGAAGGTTAAGTATTCGCATTCAACAAACAAAGAATTAGCATTGTAGAGACACAGTATATATATACTTGAGCACTTGGCCACATACACGGCGTATCAATTCGAGCAACGAATAGGGTATAGGAATACCGAAAAAAGCTTTTTTGCTCTATCATGCTTGAATGTTCTATCATGCTCAAATTAAATACAAATTTTGGTTTCGAACTTAAGAAACTTGAGAATGATTTACGATCTACCGTTAGAAAAATTAAACAAAAACCCTAACTAATGCGGAACATGCTGTGATTTTCATTAATAATTGCGTTTCTGACAGTCTTAACCTTATATATATATATATTATATATTTAATATATATATATTATATATATATATATATTATTAAATATATATATATACATATATATATATATATATATATATATATATATATATACATACACACGTTTATATATCCAAATAAATGAATGAATAAAATGAGTGTAATTATATAAAAAGTTGAAATATATAATGGAACGATGTTACGAAGGATGTGATGTTGTCGTGTCGAAACACGTCCTCCCCATCCATCAACCCCCTGCACAACTCGCCCCACCGATCCATCAATAACCACGACAGCTGGGGCATGTCCGACCTCCTAGAGAGCAGCAAGCAAGATCCTCTATCGAGTGAGTATTTGTTTAAAATCATCACCATCCACTGATCAAATCATTTTATATGTTAAGTTTAAATAAGGAGGGTTTGTTAATAACCAGGCAAAAAACTTTTCAAAAACACGACAGGCATTTTCAACCAACTAACACTTCCCATTGCTGGTTCAACTGCTCTCAACAATGTGAACACAACATCACACAAAACGTTGAACTCGTCGCCTTACTTAACATCAAATAATAACCAAAATAGCAACATGAACAGCAACAATAATAGCATCAACAACAACAACAACAGCAACAACATAAAAAATTTCATCCAACAGTTAACTAGCGGTAACAACATCAACCATTTAAAAATAAGACAGCAACCGTTGCAAATAATCCACAACACAAACAACAACATTAACACCACAACGACAAAAGTGGCCACGTCGACAACTGCACCGACCATCAACGGCTCCAAATCTTCCATCGTTCCAGTCAGACATTTGTTGATTCCCGTCTCAAACAGTAACGGCTTGCAGCAGCTGATATCAATCCCACTTAGTTTAGCTGCTGGTGTTGGCAGTCAGATTCAACTGCTGGCCACTTCTAACGGTCAACTCATTGTTGCTAACTTGAACAATGGAAGCAAAAATGTGGAAAATAACGATGGTAGAGTTGGTTGTACTCTCATAGGTTTGTTCGTTTTTATTTGTGATTGTGCAGTCTCTGTGATATCCTATTATTTCATCAGTATGAATGTTTTTTGATGCTTATTTATTTAAATTTTCAGCCAACAAAGCTGTTTCAACTACAACCTCCTTGTCATCAAATGCAATACAATCCCACTCATCGGCACCTTCGACATCATCGTCCACATCTTGCTCGTCGCAGCACTCCGACAAACCCCTACTTTCACAAGTCATCTGCAAAAACGTTGAAAATCAAGTCAGTGCCATCATCTTTAATATTTCAAGTGGTCGATAAAAATTTCTAAATTGGAGTAATGCCTAGATGGTTGAAAGCACCTGGCCCTGACCGACAGTGACTTCGTTCGAACGCCAAAAGATCCCTACCATCGAACGTAATGGGGGATGCGTCGCTTCCACGCTTATTCACGTACGCTGTGTGCGTTGCGTGTCTTTGGTAGCGGCTGCTGATACCTTTTAAGCAGAGGCAGTGTTCTATTAGAGAATGAATGACTTTTGACATTTCAACATTTTTTAATTGCTTCGTACTAATTTTACTCAGTTATATTTATGTTTGGTCTGGTGAGAGAAAAACATTTTTATGAATTATAGTTTTTGAAAAATAAAAAGTTTATTTTTTAACGTTAATTTTAAAAGACGTTTGTAGCGAATTAAATTAATAATTTCTTTACCAGATTTTTTTATTAGTATATTATTAAATTTGCTATTATTTTTATTAAAATACTGCCTTTTTATTGCTTCCTCTTCGTTTTTTCTTTCTTATGAATGTGAATATGCCTGCATACAGTGGCGGATCTAGGGGAGGGGCCGGGGGAATTTGTGAGCAATTTGTTTTAAATCAGAAAAAAGGCCGTTTCAAGTAGAAAATCGAAAATCGACCAAAAATTGGACGTGATAAGCAAAAAAAGATTGTTAGCCACACTACAACAAATCTTGGTCTCCCGTGAAATTTTTGTGTCCCCGTAAGAATTTGAACTTTTCAAAATTTTGGCCCTCCGTCAAAGTTGCCAAGATCCGCCACTGCACATGCATAGTTCTGCTGGGGGATGAACATGTTGCAAGTATAGTTCTGTAGTCCTGCTTGAGGAAGTTTTGAACGACCTTTAAATCATGTCATTAAATAAACTTCTATTTCATTTTTTAATTGAGATGCCCAGAAAATAATTTTAATGTTTGGAAAATCATTTATGAGTTTTTTAAGTTGGGCTGGAAAATTTAAGATATGTTTATACGAATGTACTATTATGATAAGCAAAATTATTTTAGCGGCTTTTTTGCATTCTATAGATTAGCATCACACTTTAACACTGACCTACTGCACAAAATTTGTTTCCCAAATGTTTCTACATGTCGTGCACATGAATATGCATGCAGTACACATTATTGCATGTTGTTTCCTGTTCAGGAACAAGAAATGAAAGCACTACGGTAGATCATAACAGATCTTGAACGAGCTATTGGAAATCATTTTAAATTTATCTAAATGTAATGAAAATAATTATTACAATTTTTTTAAAATTTAAATTAACATGTTGAAAAATTCTTTTATTTCAAGGTTTGATAGTATTTGCCAATCTGGTAAAAGCTGTTGAAATTGATATTGAAGTTGTCTTGACATGGCAAATAACTAAGCAAATTTTTATCAAAATGTTTCCTTATTTAGTCATCAAATGTTATGTTAAGCTTGACAAGTTATGATAAAGTTCTGTTTATATTAAATTCTAAATCATGATTTAGGTCACAAAACAACATTGAAGTCATTTTCATGGCATAAGAGCAACTGTAAATCTACTTTCAAGATTTTTTCAATTGTGTTCATTTTATTTCAAACATTTTAAAATTGCTCATTTGAAAGTTTATTACTTAAAAAAACATTAAAAATGTTTTTCAACGGGAATTTCTTTTAAGAAAAATTATTCCATTCCACTTTCTAGCGCTTGAAATTTTAGCTTAATATTTTAATACTTGCTACCTTGGCACTCCAAACAATGTATTAAATTTCTGTTAATTACATTTTCAGGCCGTTCCCTTGAACTTAAGTTCAACGCAGCTGCTACAAACACTGAAACTTCACCTCCAACAGACTTCAAGCATCCAAAAAATTTGCAAACTTGCAACAGTGCCCTTGTCACCCTCTTCGACGTCATCGTTGTCGCCCTCCTCGTCAACCAATCACATCTCAACAACAAACGGTTTGAACCTATCAGGTACTTCTCATACTTCATCGACAGCCAATCACGTTGGATCTTCAACGCCAAATATCAACCAACTGTTGCCAAGTAATGAAGTTTATGAATTTCAATTCTTTTGTGATATGTTGTGAAACGTAGAATGTATAAATTTAACCACTCGCACTGCATATAAAACAGTTAAACTTTTATTTATCAAAATTAAATTAAAATATTTTTTTGTAAATTTTATAAATTTGAGTTCGAATCAATACAATATTGTAAACCAAGTGAAAAAGTTGCTTATAAGTTAAATGCTAATTTTTTAACTTCAAACATTTTTTTCAAGATTTCAACAAAACATAAGTTTTCAGTATTTGTTTTTGTTTAAATTAAATTAAACAAAATTTGTAGAACTCATTGAAATTTTTCACAACGTGAATTTTGTGAACGTCGTCAACATCAGATCTCATAAACGGTTCAAAAGAAGGAACTGTGGTTGATGGTGTGAACTTGGATGAGATCAGAGAGTTCGCGAAGCACTTCAAAATTCGAAGGCTGTCGCTGGGCCTCACTCAAACTCAGGTGGGACTTGCTCTCAGTGCGACAGAGGGTCCATCGTACAGCCAGTCTGCCATCTGCAGGTTGTTAGTTTTTTGATTGGAAAGTAAGATTACTAGATACTGTATATAAAACATTTCTGATCTGAAATGTTTCAACGTTTCAATGTTTACTGTTGTTGTTGAAAGAGCTAAAAAGTCGTGTTTAACTAGTAAATTCTATTTTGAGTGTATTTTTTCCTTTGGAAGGTTCGAAAAATTAGACATCACCCCAAAAAGTGCGCAGAAGATCAAACCGGTCTTGGAGAAGTGGATGCAGGAAGCAGAGGAGAGGTACAAGAGTGGCGTTCACAACTTGACGGAGCTCATCGGCAACGAGCCGTCGAAAAAGCGAAAAAGAAGAACGTCTTTCACACCGCAGGCACTCGAAGTCTTGAACGAATATTTCGAAAGAAACAGCCATCCATCAGGTATGATTTTCTATAATATTCGAAAAAAATGTCAAAATTATTGAAACTTAAACATCAATTAGTAACATCTCAAAGCTAATACATTCCATTTAGAGAATCTGAAGTTTTTTGTGGTGCACGATGATAATATTTTTATGAACAGTTAGTAACACCGTAAATATAATATACTCCAATTAGAGAATCTGAAGTTTTTTGTGGTACTCGATAATTTTATTTTTACGAACAACTAGTAACACCGTAAATTTAATATATAACAATTAGAGATTCTGAAGTTTTTTGTTTGATGGCTGTGCCCGATGGTTTTGTTTTTTTGATCAATTAATAACATCTGAAGGTTAACATATTTCATTTAGAGATTCTGAAGTTTTTGGTTTAGGTGGCTGTGCTCGATGAGTTTTATACTAACTCCTCACAGTCAACCTGCACCTTATTTTCTTTATTGAGGTCAAATAAATTATTTTGTTTCGTTTCGTTTCGTTTAAACATAATTATGAGAAAATGAAAAAATAAAACAATATGCAACATAATTTCGTTTCAGGTAATGAGATGTCTGAACTGTCTGATCGCCTCAACTACGAGAGAGAAGTTGTGCGAGTGTGGTTCTGCAACAAGCGACAGGCGTTGAAGAACACAATTAAAAAAATGAAATCCAACGATTACATTGACGGGCAGTCGCTACTGAACGGGGGAGGTTCATGATGACGATTTCTTCCTCTCACTTCCACCACCCTTCATCTTTTTCTCCTTCACATTCAAGCCAACCTCATATGAAAAAGAATTGTTCTTTGCTGCAAATTTTGGGACTCAATTTCAAAGCGTTTTACAAAATTCACTTTATGTTCGTGAAAAATTGTAAAAAAATTAAAAATAATTTTTTGTATACTTTATGGTGAAATTAAAAAATATTTACTGGAAATTATCGTGATGGTTAACTGAATGTCGTCAAAACCACAGCACTTTCGTTAATGTATTCTATTATCAGAAGAAATTTGCGTTTTTAGAAATGATAAAATATTTAAAATTATAGTGAAAGAACCGTTAAAACTGTCATATCAAATTCTAATAACTTGTACATGTTGTATATAGTTAAATGCGTGTATGTATATAGATGTTTCAAAAACAGTCAACAGTTTTATTATCATTGATAATATAGTAATTTTGTCCCGACTTATCCAGCTGGTGCAGAAGCAAGAGTCATTCCAATAAGCATGAATGTAAATCAATATTATGCGTATTAACAACTGCTCATGTTCAATAATAGTTGACAAGTTAATTTTTACCATTATGTCATCGTTTAAAATAAAGTTTCCATGGATTGTACCATGCAGATGGTCTTGTGTAATTTAATTTCTATTTTTTATTGAGTTGTTGAGTTTATATATATATATATATATATATATATATATATATATATATTGTCGGAGATTTTAAATTTAATAAAATGATAAGGAGGTTTTTAAATTATGACTAGGCCCCACGTTGGGCGCCAATTGTCGGAAATTTTAAAATAATAATATGAATGAGGAGGAGGAGGAGGTTTTCAAATGATGACAAAGCCCCACGTTGGGCGCCAATTGTCGGAGATTTTATATATATAATAATATGAATGAGGAGGTTTTCTTCAAATTATGACTAAGCCCCACGTTGGGCGCTAATTGTCGGAAAATTTATAAATGAAAACAATTAAAACAACTGGTGGTGTGAGGTAATCTCCTCCTCTATCTTTCTCAGGGAATTTTTGTATGGTCCGACAATAATTTTTGTGTATATTTTTATCGTGAGTTCGACCAGTCCTGTGTGGCACTGGGCTTTTTCGAATTATATGATTTTACTGAGTAACACACGAACGCGTAAAGAAAAATATTCGATAACAATTTTATTAATCGACGGAAGTAAATAAAAGGAATTGAACTAATGAACTCTATAATAATGTAAATGTCAATGAACAAACTGGAATACAGGAATTAGAACTCTTCTTGTTGGGTCTTCAACTTGGGATATGTTTGTTGCCGTTTAATCGTACAACCTCGACGTGTGTATCCGATGGTGATGTCGATACAACTCCAAGAAATAAATAAAAAAAATGAATCACAAAAATCGGAGCCTATGGAAATTGCAAGCTGCGAGTGAAACTATACCAATGAGTACAGAATCCAGCAAAGAACCCTAGGTCGACAAATAGCACAAGAAAGAAAAGAAGGAGGCGGATTGGTTTTCACAGAACCCAAGGCCTGTTTTCACTGGGCCTGTCTGTGAGTCGGTCGGCTTTCGCACAACCCTGGCCTGTTTTCACTGGGCCGTCGAGTCTGATCGGCTTTCGCACGACCAACACAAGACAACAAGAGTCAGAACAACACTGGAAACAAATTGTGTGACTCTAGTACGCGTGCGAAACTATGCCAATGAGCATAGAGTCTCGTACCAAACCCATTAAGTCTCTTAGATACCAGAATAGGCACTGATTACTCGAAGCTGCCTAACTGGTGAACCCAAGGCTGACTCTTTGAGAACTTAAGACGTTTCTGAAACTATGCCAATGAGCATAGAATCACGCGTTAAGTATCTTAGGGACCGGAAGAGGCACTGATTATTCGAAGCTGCCTCACTAGTCAACCCAGTCCTTCTTAGTCTTTTCACACCCTTCCTTATCAAAGCAAAATTAGATTTTGTTTCGGGTGTTTTAAAAACATAAAAATTTCCAAGGTATGTCCAATTAATAAAAAAAACTACTAATTAAATTTTAAAATAATTTGTAATAATTTATGACGTCATCTAAATTGCAAAACAAAGAAAATCGTCGTCACCTATCGAGTAAATTAACTTGCACCATGCCCCCTATCGAGTGAATAAATTTCGCGTTGAAAATTTTGCAGTATTTTTAGTCAGTATTATTTCATAATTCTGACAATATATATATAACATAAAATATCAACAACTAGCATTTTAAGTAACATTGAAAATAAAATAGAAATTTGTTAAACCAACGAACGATAATTTGAATGATTCTCGTTCAGTTTTTCTAAATTTTTAAGATCCTAATTAATATTTATTAAAATAAAACAACTTTCAAACAATAAAAAGCACGAAAGAATGTAACAGAAAGTAGTAAATGATGTGAAGTGAGCATTTCACTCGGCCACACGGCCACATGCACGCACGCTTTTCTTTCACTCTCATCTCCACGTTTCAGTTGTGAGAAAAAATGTTTATATAATTATTTCATTCGTATGAATAATTTAATCGGCCAAAAAATACTTAAAACCTCGCTTCCAGTCTCATACGCAATAAATGCAATGATGAATGCAATCAAATAACCCCTTCGTGCTCATTTGCAGTTCCTTTCAAATGCATCAACAGCAATATCAAATGATAGCTGGCTGTTTGAGATTCCATTCAATTTTGAAATATTTAACATCAGAAATGAACTGCACTGTATGCCAGAAGGAGTTGTCTTCCAATTTTTTCTCTTCTGTAAATTCAACTCTTTCAAGCGCAGAGAAAGTAACAAAAGGCAAGGTACGAAACGAAAAAAATAAAATTATGAACATAAAAATTATAAGCAACATTTAGTAGGAATAAAATAAAATAAATGAAATACGATCTCCTTGCTAAAGAAATATCCGGTTGGGGTGTCAAAGTCCAAGTTATTTGAGGGAACAGCTCCAACCAGTTTTTAAGTAGTCTACCAGTGTCGATTGAGATCATTCACGATTTAAATTTTTAAAGGAAGTTTTCTGTTTCACCCGCTCAAATCTGAAACGCACTAACAACCAATAAATTTAAGAAATGTAAACAACACAAGTCGACAAGTGTTTCAAAAATGGGTTTCTCCGACTTTTCTAAAGTGAGTATCATATATTCAACAATCGGCAGCGAAAACCAGGGCTATTTGAATTGTTCTCAATAGATGCAAGTTATAAATTGTATTATAACATAATTTTAGTATAGATATGTTTTGATGTTATAGAGTTGGCAAATACTGAACATAAAATATTTTTACGTAATCATTTGCTTCTAATGATATTTCATCTTCTTTGTATAACATTAACATCACTTAATGGAGTAAACTCAAACAGTGAAAGAGTAAAGTTTTGTTACTCTGCACCGAAATATGTGTTGTACCGAGTCCATCATGGCGTAAGTATTTGTTACTTTATGATGTTCGAGATTAAGCGGAATAAAGTTGAACTCACGGCCGAATAATTCATTGATATTTTAGTAACATAAATGTATTCAATAACATTACCGTGTTATAGGCCTAACTCATAATCTTGGCTATGACCTTAACAGATTTTTTGAAATATTTATTTTTTTTTGAGTCTCGTAAATATTCCACAACCCTTTCTTTTACGAAAACCATGAAAAGGTTTTTATTCGTTGCTAGTTTTTGTTTACACATTATTATATTGTGCCAAACAAAATTGTAACATCGTTTAAAAATCAAAACATCTACATCAATGACCTCTTTGAGAACCGGCTGCTGAGGACAAACATGCTTTCTATCTCTTGCCTAATTTCAAATTTTTTGAATTTGATCTGCGAAGTTAGGAAGTTGAACGTGAAATACTCCGATGAACCCAATTCTTTTTATCGCCGCATTTTTACATTGAAAGTAATTGACTACAAAATGATCTATACCCGATACAACATCGTTTAATTTTTAATTTTTTTCTACACAATTCGCCCGTCGGGATGCGAAACATGAAATCTCTTGAAATCTTATCGATATACAATTTTTAATATCCTTCCTATCATTGTATTGTACTGCTGAATTTGTATATATACTTATAATAATCATGAGTTGACTTGACATCATAGGCGCACTCTTCATTTTCTTCACTATTGAAAGTTAACAGATGATTTTTCAGACGTTTCTTGAAGTCCCTTCGACTTCTAATGTTGAATTTTGGAACCCCGAGGTTACCATTGTTAGATGATCGCTTCCATTATTTAATTGTGATTAACCTGTGTATTCATCACTTAGGTATGTTTAGGTTGAGAAGATTGTTCAAGCTGCTGGAAGCATTAGATAGCGTCTCAATCGATCGATACAAAATTATTTTGTTCTTTCATAGTCAGTATTTATTTGGTTTTAATTGTAAATTGGATTTTTAATACTTTTAAATTTACATGTTGCCAAATGTTAGCAAATGTCATTACAACGCTAAAACAATCATTGTAACCACGTTTGCTGGGCTATTATAATAATAATGCTGGTATATAATAATAATAATAATAATAATTATTATTATTATTAGTATTGTTGTTGTTGTTTGAAGTAGCCCGGGCAAAAGCCTTTGCCAAACAAATACAGAAAAAAACAAAAAACAAATTAAAATAAAATTATATCAGATAGAATTTGCAAGAACAGTGTCAACAGAATTGAACTGAACATAAACACGTGAGCCTATAAGTGCATACGGCAAAACCAAGATGATGATGAATAAATCAATAAATGACAAAAAAAAACTAATTTTGATTCAACAAGTAAAATGGATTCAACTGTACAGGTACACATATCAAGTACAAATTAGAAATTAAATGGCCAACTGAACTTGGAATCACCGTAGTAACTATCGACCGCTGACTTGAAACCGCTCAAGGAGATGACATTAACAACGACCGAGGGCAGTTTGTTCCAATCTTCCACCACCCTACTCGAAAAAAAAAATTTACGGCTGTCTATATAAAAATAATATATGAAACTCGAGCTTATTTTTCCAAAATGTACCACAAAATTTAAATTGTTAATGCTCGAAATATCTACAGATGATATTCTGTAAAGTAACATCACAGACCTTTTAAAATGTTCCATGGACTCCAGAGAGTTATCTACTTTCAACAAAAAAATAACATTTCTTTAGACAATGAACATTATTTGATAATAAACAAACTAAAAAACAATCAGCCAGCCAAATGAAAAAATATACTAACAAGCAAACTTTCAAATGTTTGAGATACTTTTTATGTCCACTGACTTGAAAAACACTTATAACAGAAATATTATAAGAAACGTGAATTTGTCGCAGATATATACATAAATATAAAAAAATATATATAAATATATACGACGTACGCAATTAAGCATGCATGCGTGTATGTCACATCATCTTGTAGGCAGGAGTGAATGCATGGAATGTGATGGACTTCTGATAAGCTAAATACAAACATCGCCAGCTCTACTGGATTTTCAAAGATGGTCAACCAAATAGCATATAGATTTATATTTATTTCCTTAATAGTTACTGCTATTCAAGGCAAATGTTATAAATTTAAGAATAATTTGTTAAAATTATCCAACAATCTGACCTCGAATAGAGATTGCTTAGGCGGCAAAGTTTGCGGTATGTCGCCTGCAAAGCTCCACCAACTTCAGAAAATATTACCTTAGAAAGTTGGGAGCACGATGTTCTCCAGGTGGTGCTGACCTGCACTCTCACGTGCGCGACATCTCCTAATTGTGTTGGATTCAATTTCATGAAGAACAACATAGCTGACGGTGGCGGTGTTCTCTGCCAGTTTTTCAACACCACTCCTCAGCTGTATATCTCGGAGGATCTGTGCATCTATTTCGGAGTAATTTATTTGTTGCCGGGTGCTCCGGTAGTTTTTGTTTCATGATGTGTCGATAATTTTTGAAAATAATTTTTTTTTAAAGTCCATATTTCATGAAAATTCTTTGATGTCTTAAACATTTATTTAAATTCAGTCGGACGAACAGCAATTTACTAACAATCCGATTGGTTAGTTAAATTTAATTTTTTTACTGATGAACGTATTGTAACATTTGTTTCACAGTGAATGTATAGAAGAATTAAAATGTTCAACTTGTTGATACATGACTTTAATTTGCCATATGTTTGTGCAGAATATTTATATTACGATTCAAAATTTTGAAATTATTGCTCTAAACAAAATAATTTGCAATGTTCATGTTGTCCTTAAAAAAATGTACTCACAGGGTACATAAAATTTGATTTAAACGGAAAAGTTTTGATAACGCAAGGCCATTAGAAACTAACGCATTAAGGTCCATGCGATTTTTTTGCTTTACGTCAGCTATTCTTGACCACAGCCTGTCCAGTTCATGAAAATAAAGTGAATTTTCAAACATTAGAATTTGAGAAAGATTATAAAACATTTTTTTTCAAATAAGACATTTAAAAAAGGGTTGCACAGAGCATTAAATGCTATTTCAAGCCTCCCTGTAAATTATGAATGGTTGATAAAAAAATCTAATTTTGAAATGAAAAGTAAAAAAATACAAAAACATCAAGAAAGTTCGACAATAAATTAAATAAAATAATTTGGATATTACAAATTTTACGGCTGTTACTACTAAATGAAAGATATATTGCGATGAATCTTATGCGCATTCAAAGTCAAAACATCACCAGAGTCAAACATTTATGTACAATAATTTCAGAAAAATTCTACATTTTTTTGACATTCTGTTGTCTCAAATTCGAGCAGATGAATGTGGTGTGGCAACTTGAAATGCATATCACAAAAGTTTAGAATTTAAAAATTTTGTTTGTCTATTGTCTGTTTGTTTGTATGTGAACAGCAGCTCTCCAATTAAATTAATTAATGGCGATAATAAGCAAAGATATAAATATTTTACATTAAAATTATGTATCTCACAAATGGTTCTCTCTTCTGTTGTATTGACTTTAACATAATCAGAATACATAAGACGTCTGGGTTACATTTTTGAGTATGGCAAACATGGATTTTTTTGAAAAAAAGCACCGAGATAACTGAATTTTATTTTATTTTATAATAAATTTCGTTTTAAACCAATGGCATTTTCAATTTTATTAAAAATTATGATGGAAGATATTATTCTTAATCTTTAAATTAATATTTTTTATTACAAATTCGTCATTTTTCATATTAGATTTTTACCCAAGAAATCCAAACTTTTGTTCTGAATATTCAATGACTAACAGTTTTTAATAGTTGAGCAAATAGAATTTAAAAATTGTTTCTTAAAGAAAATGACGAGTTTAAAAAATTTCATTCAAATGTTGAGTTACTCATTTTGTAATTATAATTGTAATTAGCTACTCGAAAATTTTTATCTCAAAATTGTCTTCAAGTTTTTTCATACATTTCACTTTTAAATCATCATTTTTATCATCTCTTTCTATTATGTTTCCTAAATATCACTTCTTGTCATACACCAGGGCTACAAATCGACCTGGTTCGTAATCATCATTGTTGCCTTTCCTTTCATTTTTATTTCGAATGATTCTGAAGACAAACGTTTCGTCAAAAGTTGATTATTTTTGTCTGTAATAAAAGAGTGATGACTTCGACAACCCTTTGTTTTTTCTACTCACTTAAATCTTTTTTCAAGCATACAAATATATACAATAATATACAAATGAATACAAATACCAATGTTAGAAAATTTAATATCAAGAGCATGAGAGATTACCAGTTTGGAACAACAGAAAATTATCGAAAAAGTGTAATTGTGTAATTTTTAATATTCTTTTTACTTTTTTCCCATGTTCTAAAATAAATTCTGGTTACATCGGAATAATTTGAAAACTCAACAATACAACGTTAATCACGGCAGAATCTAATTTGTTTCTAATCTCATGTTACAACACAATTTTCTCGTTACAACGATACAAGAGTTTTTGGCTTTGGGTTTGATCACATCCGCTTTATTCCAGTTGTAATAAAGTTTAGAGGCCATCGATCGTCAATCAAGCATATTGGTGCATGGAAAAATTGTTCCAGCAGCGTTTGGAGTGTTGGAGAATAAATTTGGTCATTTTATCTCATATTCAACCGATCAATTTTGATAAGATTTTATTTGAAAGCACAGTTAATTTTTTTAATTTTCTTCTACAATAAATTTACTTAAAACGCATTTTCTAATTCTTTTTTTTAATTCTTTTAATTTTTTGCACAAGCGCGCATACACACACACACACACACACACACACACACACACACACACACACACACACACACACACACACACACACACACACATATATATATATATATATATATATACATACATATGTGTACGATGTCGCAAGTGGTTTGCATTAACGAGTTATTGTGTTATTTATTTAATAATTCTGACAAAATTGACGATGCGGAATTCATTTACGAAATAATGGATTTCTATAATTGTGAAGATATTAGAATAGCAAAAAAAATACTTACCAGCGATCTAGATGCATTAAATCTAGAAAAAGATGATAAAATAAAGCCAAACAGTTCTTGAAATTCTAAAAGGGACAAGGTTAGTTATTTAATACTAACAATAAAAACTATTCTGAGCAACAAAATTGAGAGCAAATTGCCTCAGTATGCTGCTCTCAACCTTTTTAAAATTCCAAGCTCAAAAAAAGCTAAATTTGAGTCAATTCTTGACGAAAAGTTAAAAAAATTAAAAGAACTATTCATTGAAGAAAGAAACATCTTCCGAGAAATAGTAAATAATGCGGCTATTAACAATAGCCCAAAAGTAGAAAGAAAGCAGCAATCTGATTGCAAGACCGAATCGAGCAAGCAATCTGACTGGTCAGAGATTGTAAAACGTAAAATTAAAAAGAGCTCAAATGTTCAACACGTGGCGAATGTTCAACACGTGGCGAACATCAACATGTTGAAAACAAAGAAAAAAACACACAACACTAACATAGCAAATATGAAAACAGTTATAGGCACCCAAACTGATAAACAAACAAATTTGAAAGCGATGAAACCTTCGCCAAAAAGAAAAGTTTTTTACGTTGGTCGATTGGACCAACAATGCACTGCAAAAGAGTTAAGCGAACACATAAATGAATTGAAAATTGAGGTGCTTGGTTGCTCAGCAATCAAAAACTCAATTTTTAATCGCCGCTCAAAGCAAGCTACAACATCGATCAACACACAAAACACGAACTCTGACAAAATCGATATTCAACAGACAAGCGCTGAATTCAGAGTTTGTATTTATGAAACAGACTCAGCTGAGTTCATGAATGCAGAAAACTGGCCAGACCAAATCATCTCCGCGAATGG